GGTTTTATTGAACTCATTCTCAGTTCCGAATCCTAGCCGAAACCATAAATCAACATTTGGAGGCAAAAGCGGGTTGCATAACAAGCTACCGAAATTGGCACAAGTAGTGTAAAATCGACGGACATTTATAAGTCAAGCAAAGAAAACTCAGGTATCAGAACAGCTAGGTCAGCCGTCCGTTCTGCCAGCCAATGGAAAGGTTGCTGCGCACGTGATATGAACGCGAACGTTCCTGAAACCATTTGATGTTTCGGTTGTACACCATTGGCTCAACTTGTGTTCCCATTGAATTAATGAGTTTTCTTCGGGGTTTGAACTCACTCAGGAAGGCGGAAACGAGAAACAGGGAGTCTGCAACAGTAGTGTTGACTATTTTGGAACGGAACGGATTTGTGTTCAGTGGTCGAGACTGCTTGCAAAGTTTTTCCGTGTGGTCTTGTTTATGGCAATTTTGGTAAATGTGCTTTTGAATGAGCAGAATCGGGTGAAATGCTACTTACCGCATAAGCAACAGGCAGCAAGCGATATGTTATGTGACTCCTGGGCGGAACTGTCGGGCCTGTTTCGCTTGGATCCTGTAATAATATGGAAATTTCGAGGTTGTGCGGAAGATTCCTCGACCATGGCGGTGTCTTGTTTCAGTCATCGCAATGAGGCTGGACCTTAACGTGGTGCGATGCTTTGCGCGCCTCAATGATCCATTGAGCTGTGCTGGGTGGTTTATTGCACCTTCAGAGCCAATCGTACCAGATTGGTCGTCAATGGTTAGAGGCCAGACAAACTCAGCTTCCTGGTAGTTGGGGGTTGGAATAAGGGTGGGTCCATATTTCTTAAAACGGACTTCTTGTAGTCCCCTGCCAAACCCGGTCAGGTTTTTGAACCAAAGGCTTTGGTTGTGAACCCTAATCGTTCTCCTGTCTAGGCCTGGGAAAATTAAGAGTATCCTGCCCAAGCAATACAACTATGACTTTCACTTCAAACCAATTCTTGATGCTCTGGCCGTCGCAGAGGATAATTAACGGCGCCTTGTCTATTGAACCGAGCAAAGAGGATAGGGTTTGGAGGATACTGCTCAAGCCTTCCCGTCTTTTTGTTCCCCTTATACGCTTTTTCATTCTAATCGTCCTGTTCCAACTTCCCTTTTGTACCCGATGTTTTCACCCCCCCCCCAATTGCTGGCCCTCCATCATCTTGGTTTGATAAGCATTTATCTTTTATTTTCAAGACACGAGTAAAAACGGAGTCAATCCTTCCCTATTGACAAGCACATGTCTAAACAAGCGGTGAAACCCAGTTCATCGGCTTTTATTTGAAGCCCACAATCCTCCATCAGATAGGAAAGCCTCAATGTACGCACAATGGTACAGATCGGTCAACAGACAGCACTTTCCCGAACATTAAATCCTTTCCGTCGAGATCCGCTGCCTATCGGAAAAGCGTCTGCAAGACTCAAGCTCTGCTCGCTCTGCGATCCCACTGAGGTGGCACTAGCAGTGCTTTTTCACTGCACCCATCCGGAGACGATGCAGATACTAGTACGGGCAAATGTGGCGTTCGCAATGCCCTGAGTCTCCGGGCTGTAGATGCTGGTAGATTGAATCCCAACCAGTAGCCGGATGTGCGCGGACAGACTGCCTGGCTCGTTCAAAGTCGCGCTGGGCTAATGGATGTCTGTTTGTCATCGGTGCCCACGCCTTTACAAAGTGTAGCGACGATTGGGTAAAAGATGACTTCTATCGTCAATTGAACGAGCTCCGTCACCACAGAAGAAGCAAAGACACTGTAGTTCTGGCGAGGGATCGGAACGCCCAAACTGGAAAATTATCCACTGCATCTGGGCAGCCAACATGGTGTAGGCTCCCGTAATGATATCGGTGAGCAACGGCTTCATTTGTGTGGAGATGCTCGCTTATTCCTTGAGAGCACAGCGCCTGTCGGAGGGTGATATGACGCCCGCTAGCCTCAGAGTAGCCACAAACGCAGATCGATCACATGGCGATCAGTTACTGTTAGAGAGGCGATGTCCAAAACTGTCGCTCGAATTGGAGCATATGTGTAGACACTAATCATGCTCTTGCGTGTGCTGATTTGCGATTGCGTTTTGGCGCCCTCGACGAACCTGTAAGCACATAGACACCAGCCAACTTGCGAAGCCAAATGTTCTGAATGCCTATCGAAGCATACTGGCATTCGGGTCGAGTACGTGCTCAATGAATACAGTTGCATGTTCATCAGACTACTAGCAGCAGGTAAATTCTCATGCCGTAAATCCAGAAACCAACATGGACATTTGGTCTCTTCGCAGTCTCTAGAACTTATCGATACTTGCCGGCATATTCCGACTGGAAGCGAACACAATGAAACTCGCAAAGAACTCCGTGCTAGCCTGAAGAGAAACCAAGAGCCGTGGTGGCCTCATCGTGCGTCAGAAATGGAAGTGGACACTGAACTTGGTAACCATCAGAGATTATTCCGTCTGATACGGGAAACGGGCAGTAGAAGACCCAGTGTTAGTGAAACATTTTATGACGAGAGTGGACAATCTACAAACAACTTGTCAAAATGCCCGGAGCGTTGGGCTGAGCACTTTCAAAGGAAATTTAATCAGCCGGAATTGTTAGATTTCTCACCGACCGATAATTGCCATGCTCCCTGGGCTCTCCTTTTAATCCGCACTCTCGCTTAGAAGTTGAACGTGAGATCGGACTGCTAAGATTGAATAAAGCCGTGGGACCAGACGATCTTTATCCAGTCCTCTTCAAATTCGGTGGCCCTGCTCTTATTGACGATCTACACGAGTTACGAGTGAAACTATGGGTGTAGGGAAATGTCCCAACCGATTGTAGTCTCTCGGTTATTGTCCCGATCTTCAAGGGAAGCTCACGCTCGGAATGAGGCAACCATAGAGGAATCAGTCTGATCCCCAGCGCCTCCAAATTGTTTGCCTGTCATCCTTCACAGATTGACTGAAAACCGTCAACGACGGATTCGTAAGGAGCAAGCCGGGTTTCGTCGAGGTCGCGGCTGCATCGATCACATATTCACCTTGCGTCAGTCGCTGGAGCACCGTACATATATTGGCGGCCCACCGTAGTCGTGTTCCTCGACATCAAAGATGCTCTCAATTCGGTGAATCGATGTGCCCTTTGGGACTGTATGCAAAGGAAATGTGTGCCCCAGAAAGATGCAAATATTATCCCAGCGCTTAAGCACGTAGCTCGGGCAGAGTGAGGGCTTACTGCAAGCTGTCACCCCTTCAATATCTCTAGCGGAGTAAGACAAGGATGTTCGCCGTCACATTTCCTCTTCAACTTCGCAAGTGATAAAGCCATAGACATTGGGTTCACAGGACACGATTTGGAAGGTGTAGAACTGCCCCCAGGCAAAGGACTTCTTGACTTGGAATATACTGATGATATTGCCCTTATCTGTGAAAGCTCACAAACGTGAAAAACAGCAATAGAGAGATTAGCAATGACTCTCAACCGTTGCGGGCTATGCTTTACTCTGTCGAAGTACAAAGCTTTTTAAACATTAGCAAGGACTGACACCTGCGCTGACCCTTGGTGGGGATCAGCTAGAAGTCATTCGAAGATTCAACTATCTCGGCAGTTGTATCAGTGCCGTTGGAATTGAAGACGACATCACAAATCTTATGGCGAAAGTTCAGGGCGCCCTGCTAACCTTCGCCACATGGCGCCTGTGCGACATCACGCTCACCCTGAAGAGTAGAGTATACAATGCAACCGTCCGTTCGCCCTTGCTGTACGGTTTTGAAAACGGGTCTATTAAAGTGACAGACTTAAATAGGCTAATTTCATTCGACCACCGCTGCCTTCGCAGTTTGCCTCATATCTGGTCGGAACATCGCGTGAGCGATGAGCGTGTTCACGTCTTTTCTATGACACAGAAGGAAGAAATGAATCGCTCGGCACAGTTATATCTTGCACGAAGCTCCGATGTCTGGGCCACGTGTTGCGCATGCCAACCCATCGACTCATGCGACGTGCGTTGTTTGCGTGTCGGGATGTGGATGGAAGAGGAGAGGCGGTTAGGCTATGAACTTGTGATGAGAAATGAAGGCCCATAGTTCGAAGTTGCCCTCGGTTCGAGCCTCTCGGCGCCTTGATTGTGAACCGAAAGATGATGAAGATGTTTGGCTGAATACACTTGTTGATATGGCTAGGAGCCGACTTCAGTGGCGTTCGTGTTGTGAGTTTCTTTATCCCTCCCCCTCCCACCTAGTCTTCCTCTCCAACCACGATCTCAATTCATATTTTTGTGGCACAGCCGGATATTAACTCTTCAGAACGATGTCCATCCGTTAGCAGTGACTCAGCCGGCGTGCCTTTGTCGCATATTTTCTTTTCTAATGTATTGCGGCACAATAGCTGAGGTGTTTTCCACCTCTAGCTAACGTATAACGTGTGTCATTTTTCAGGGCCATCAAGCTTTTGCATTCGGCCGTAAGATACTTCCGCGTCGAGTCTGCGTCTTGATACGGCTTTGGGATTAGCCTTGTGTGGATCTCGGCGTCTTGCGGGGACTGTAAGGCATTACTTGCGTTTTAGGTTTAATAAAATGAATGATATATGTGCGATTATACAAGCTGATAAGATTCTCAACTTGCAAAACCGACATGGAAGAAAGCTTATGTCATAAGAGGCACAAGCGTTAGCAGCTTCCAACTGCAAACACATGTTACATGACATCATAAGAAGCTGATACGAAGCACAACGTCATCAACCTATAACCATTGCCTCATCAGACAGCAGTCTCACTATCGACTTCGATGAGCTCTGTGAGTTATTTAATAAACATTTCTCCTCCTCGTTTAATACAGGCGCATGTGTTGCATAAGAAAGATTACCTCTACTCACCAGTTAAACAATAGATACAGTTGAGTTCAAGCTGTATAGCTTGAGCAGGCAAATATCCGCCCTAAAGCATTCTTTTCACCCTGGACCTGACAGCATACCACCAGCATTGCTTAAACTCACCGGGCCCAATATTCCCCTGTTCCTGCCAAACATATTCACCTTGTCAATTAAGACTGGACTGGAAACGGGACATGCAGCCTTATAAGGAACCGTCGGCGATTAGTGTCCAGTACATGGTGGGGAAACAGCTGCAGATGGTATGACTCCAGTAACATGGCGGTTGTTGCCAATTAAACTAAGAATTATAGAAGGATATTAATGGGCACGGGGAGGGGAGTAAACGATTGAAAAGTAAAGTAGAGGCGCCAGGAATAGCATGTATGTTGCTGTATGCATCAAATAAAATGAACCTTGATATTCTGCGCGACGGCCGACGCAGGATATGAAGTTTGAAGAAGAAGAAGAAGTGGTTGTATGTGGGCTGAGATACTGCCATGGCGTTCACAGACCTAGGCAGAACGATTAGGGTTATCAACTAAAGCCTTTGGCTCAAAAGCCTGTCTGTAAGGCAGTGGATGTGGCAACGATTCGGTTGTACAGAAATGGACGTCATCTCATTTTAAATCCCTAACCTGGAGGACTAGGAAACTGAGCTTTCTGACCTCTAACCACTGACCAACCTAATAGGAGTAGCTCTTAAGAAGCCCGGGGCCCCACCCAGTATAGCTCAATGGGTCGGTGATACGCAAACCGTCACACCACGTTGTCCAGTTTCGGGGTGACGGAATCCAGTCTCGTCGTGAAGAAGGGAAACTCCTCGGTCGACCCTTAATGGGGATAGAAGCAACCGGCCAAAACCAAACTCGCCTCATCCACCCTGGGAATTTAACTTCCTGTACCGAATTCTCAGTTGACACCGGAGCAGAAGTTAGTATCATACTCCGTAGCTCAAGTGATGTTGTCTCACCCTCACCGGCCAGATTACGTGCCGCGAATGGCACACCAACCAAAAACTTCGGCGATAAGCTGCCAACGCTCAATCAAGGCCTCCGGCGAATCTTTCGCTGGGCTTTCATAGCAGCAACTGTGCTTCTCGCTATAATAGGCATAGACTTTCTTCTACGTTTCGACCTTATCGTCGATGCTAAAAGGCAAAGTCTTATCCACTCACGGACACATCACGGTGTTGTCGGGATTAGCGTCAGTGACTGTAATCACCATCATCATCAATACACGATAGATAAGGGTTAGAAAAGTGCCTCAGTTAATAGGCCACAACACAAAAAATATAAGATACCAAAAAGAACTACGAAAAAATTCAGAAAAGCAAGTAACATAATGTTATAAGTTGCTGAGATCGTGATTGAAGGGGAATCAAAAGAAGAGGGGGATGGACAAAGAAACTCACAGCACAAATGCCATGGGGGCCGACTCCTAACCATGTCAGCGAGTTCGTCCAACCAAACGTGTCCTTCGGACCCCAGCCCGGCAGTCGGGATGCACCAACCGACGCCAAGTTCGAATTGAGGGTTTTCATTCCTTTTGGCCAAGTCATTGCTCGGCCTCCCCTCCTTCACTTCCATCCAGATCCCGGGCGCGCAAACGCACGTCGTGGGAGTCGGTTGGCTGGCATGCGCAACACATGCCCTAACCATCGGGGCGTGGTGCGTGATAGACTCCCATTCGTGTCATATTTCATGCTTCACAGCTTATTAGACTTTTCAATCAGAATTCTAAGCGCATTCACGCTCAAAACGACCTACCTTCCGTGACGGCAAACTTCATACATCACATCTGCACTAAGGATCAGCCAGTTTAGACCCGCACTAACAGACTAGTCCCGGACAAGCTCAAAGCGGCTAAGGCGGAAGACGAGCAAATGCTCAAACTGGGAATAACCCATGGGTCTAAGAGTCCATGGACATCACTCCGTTAAACATGGTACCAAAGAAATCCGGGGACCGGTGTCCCTGTGGTGAGTACAGGGAATTCAACAAAGTTGCCGTCCCGGATAAGCACCCACTTCCACATATGCAAGACATGATCTCAGCTCTGGCAAGCAAGTCGGTTTTTAGCAAATAGATATAGCGCGCACATACCATCAAATACCTGTAGCGTCGAATAACGCTACTAAAACTGCGGTCATTATATCGTTCGGTCTATTCGCGTATCTCAGCATGCTTCTCGGCCTCAGCAGCCTTGTCCAAAGATTTCAGCGTTTCATCCATGTGGCAACACGAAGATTCGAAGGCGTTTATCCCTACTTAGATGACAGTCACATCGCCAACTCCTCTGACGATGTCCATCTTTGTCATTTTGAGGCTCTATTCACAAGATTGATGCAACATAGGGTTACCGTCAAACCAGACTTTATTGGCCATAAGATATCAGCGACTGGCATTGATGTTCTACAGGACAAAATCCAGGCACGGAATGACTGTTCTGCTGCTAGCTCCTTCAAACAGCTACGCCGATTCTTTGCCCTAGTCAGCTACTACCGACGCTTTATTCCCAACTACGTGAGCATTATGTAACTAATGAGTGACTCTGCGACAAACAAGGTACTATACATTTTCCAGACGACGCTAAAATGGCTTTGAGAAGTCGAAAGATGTTATCCTAACATAGGGTTTTTCGCTCACCTCTTTATCTGACGAATGACGCATCAGACAACGCCGTCGGTGCAGCTCACCAACAACCCATCGACCATCGGTGGACACCTTTAAGTTTCTGCTCGAAAAGTCTGTAACCAGCTGAATCGCGTTACAACACCTTCGGTAGGGAACTGCTCGCGATCCACCTAGGTATCAAACATTTTCGTCACTATTCTGAAGGTGGACATTCCAGACGCCACTGACCACTGGTCCTTGTTCTACGCAACCGACAAGTACTCTCTACGATAAACTAGACACCTAGACTACGTCTCTTAGTTCACGACAGACGTACATGTATTAGGTGCTTTTAATCCCATCATAGGTGTTTTCATGCATTCACCCCATCAGCCTAGCACCGGGAAGCTACATCGATCTACATGACGTGGTATCAGTTCCTCACGTTGTGCCCAAAACAGATAAGCTTCAGCGTAACACTTCTGACTCTCCTGATACATTTTCTAAATATCTTTTAGAATCGCTATCGGAGCAAGGCAGTGTAGGATGAACCGCGCTACATCACAGTTGGAGATCAGTCATGGTGGTCCGCTGTCGTCACCTATGACTCAGTGACATGAGTCGGTGGCTCGTGAGAGCAACGCCGTGAGTTCGAATACTGTAGGATGCGCTCTACTGACGAATCCCAATAGGAAAGAACGAATGTAAGTGGTCCTTTTCCGCCATGCCAATGCCCATTCAGGTAGCGCACGATTCAGACATGAGCATTGCGAAAACTTTCAGACTGATCAGCAACGTGAGCAGTCTAAAGAATAAGATGTACGACATAGGCCTGCTTGTAGATGAGTTCCATACCCATATACTGGCGCTCAATGAAATGTGGCTGCCTCAGGACATCACGGACAGTGAAGTACATCTGTCTGGCCACGCACTAAGTAGATGTGATCGCTTCGGTGGCCGATAAGGTGGGGTTGTCGAGGTTTATGTTAGCTGTAAACTTGATGTTTTGGGTACCCACATGTTTCAGTCGGTAGACAAAACTGTCGAAACTGTCGGTACTGATTAGCACTTCCTCGGTTCAACTTGTGTACAGATCTCTTAGGAGTGCATACAAAGAGGTGCTTGATTTTATTCGCTCCCAATCCGCAAACAGGTGTCTGATATGAGTGACTTCGACCTATCGGAAATCCACTGGGCAAATCTTTCTTGCAACTCAGCGTCAGGTACTTTCGGGGCAGATCTTACTGCGCTTACACTACAAGTGCCGTTGTATCAGTTCGTGGACCTCCACACTCGGTACATAGACGCGCAATTACCGTCCATTTCGGACTTCGTTTAGGTCATCAATCGACTTCGTAGGTGACATCACTTATGACTCTCCTTTAAGTGTCAGTGATCATGTCTGTTTGTCATTCAGTTGTGCTCTGTCCAGACGTCATCAGAGTATCGTTGAGCCATAGCCCAACATATGGCGTGCGAAAGTTACAGGTTTGCTTGGCGAAATCTCGGTGGCCGATATGGTTCAGGCAGCCTGGGATAGATTTAAGTCTTATCTCATGGAAGTGTCTGCTCCCTACACAAAGCTTTCGAAGAGAAAAGAGACGAGCACAGCCTCGTGGATAGATACAAAAAGCAGGGACACGCTCAAGAAGCGTACTGGGTGTTGGAGGACTTACCGAACCGCTCCATCAACTAACACCTAAGATAGGTACCGCAAAGTTAGAAATGGATGTAAACAACACTTGAGGAAAGCTCGGTTGTTGTACAAAATGGGAGTGACTGATGGAACTTGGTGAGCAGTATACAGGGGATTTTTGTGTGCGGTCACACTGACTAGTGTTGAACTTGTCCACAAACTCTGAGAGTTCTTATTTAGCTGAATTTACTGAAACTCAAGCCATTGGGCTGCTACAAGAAGTGAACCTATCTAAAGCAGCTGGGTCTGATTTAAGTCACGTGAAACTCCTGCATGAGTTGGCGGCAGAACTACGTGGACCGTTGAGGACGGTGTTTCAGAAGTCACTTGACAGCTATACATTACCTCCTGAATGTAAGGAGGCTGTCCACCGTCCTATCGTTAAAAATGGAGACAGGAGTCTGTCAACCAATTATAGACCAGTCACCTTGACTAGCATCGAGGTCAAACCGCTTGAAAAGCTGGCGTGAAATTGGCTGGAGGGTCACCTGAATAGATTTAATCTACTCAGTAGTGCACAACAAGGAGATCGGAAGTGACTTTCGAATCTGACGAATTAGTGAAAGTTGAGCTGAGGAAGTGAACAATGGCCACCTAGTGGACGTGTATTTCGTCGAGTTCTCGAAAGCAGATGACACAATACCCCACCTGAGTCCATCACAAAAGTTGAGCTCCCACGGTGAATCTGGAAGCGCCCTTCACTGAGTGTCTGCATTCTTGCAGGAATATGTACGCGTGGTCACAGCTTATCATTTAGGCAAGCGGTCTTTAGCAGTGTCCCACTAGGCACAGTCTTTGGACCGATGCTATTCTCCATCTATGTAAACGATCACCATGCGGAGGTTAGG